GAGTGTAGTGTAGAATGTAAAAATACCCCGAGATAATTACAGGGGTGAACTCGAGTGTAGTGTAGAATGTAAAAATACCCCGAGATAATTACAGGGGTGAACTCGAGTGTAGTGTAGAATGTAAAAATACCCCGAGATAATTACAGGGGTGAACTCGTGTGTAGTGTAGAATGTAAAAATACCCCGAGATAATTACAGGGGTGAACTCGTGTGTAGTGTAGAATGTAAAAATACCCCGAGATAATTACAGGGGTGAACTCGCGTGTAGTGTAGAATGTAAGTTCGGGAACAGGGTTCAGACAGGATTTAAAGTCTAGGGCAGAAAGGACCTTAGAGACCTATAAGATCTTTGGGGGTGAGTTTTCAAGAGTCCCTTTCATCAGATAGGCTAGGACAGTGATGGTGAACCTTTTAGAGACCGAGTGCCCAAACTGCGACCCAAAACCCACTTATTTATCGCAAAGTGCCAACATGGCAATTTAACCTGAATACTGAGGTTTTACTTAAGATGATCCAAACATAGCAAGGAAAGCAATCCCAAATGCTTTCATTTACTTAAAATTATTTGGCAGAGAATTCGACACTTTAATGATGGTCTGGGCCTGGCTGGGGCGATGGCACGCGTGCCCACAGAGAGGGCTCTGAGTGCCACCTCTGGCACCCGTGCCATAGGTTAGCCACCACTGGGCTAGGAGCTTGGACTCTTGAAAACTTAGACCCTAAAAATCTTGTTGGGTCTCTTAAGGTGCTACTGGACTCAAAATCTAGCTCTTCTATAGCAGACCAACACAGCTACTCTCTGGAAAGTGTCTTCAGAGAAAAGATGTTATTCTGCCCCAGTAGGTCTCTTTCCCCTTTCTGTGGCATCTCATACAATCTTGTAACTGCTTCTTTGGGATATTTCCTGGCTAGAAATTAGTTTGACGACTGTTTCCTTGAATGTGTCCAGTTCGGGAAAGCTGATGGAAAACAAGCATTCAGATACATGGACCGTCCCCCAAGTTTCTCTTATAGAAATTCACACATATGCCAATATCCAAAGACACACATTTTTCTCACATGGAAATATTTCCTAGGTGTAAATAGTAGGAGGGAAGGGAAGGAATCGTGGTATAGCCCAACCTCAGACTTGAGAAGCTAAGCAGGGTCAGTACTTCGAAGGGAGAGCACCAAGAAAGACTCTGCCAAGGAAGGCAACGGCAACCCCCCTCCGCTTCTTGCTTACCTTGAAAGCCCCTTGCTGGGATCGCAAGAAGTTGGAAGTTAAGCAGGGTTGGTACTTGGATGAGAGACCACCCAGGAAGGCTGTGCTGAGGAAGGCCATGGCAAACCACCTCTGATTCTCGCTTGCCTTGAAAGCCCCTTGCTAGAGTTGCCATAGCTTGGAAGCTAAGCAGGGTTGGTACTTGGAAGGGAGACCACCCAGGAAGGCTGTGCAGAAGAAGGCCATGGCAGACCACCTCTGCTTCTCACTTCCCTTGAAAGCCCCTTGCTGGGGTCGCCATAGCTTGGAAGCTAAGCAGGGTCCGTACTTGGATGGGGGAAAACCAAGGAAGGCTGTGCAGAGGAAGGCATTGGCAAACCACCTCTCCTTCTCGCTTGCCTGGAAAGCCCCTTGCTGGGGTCGCCATAAGTTGGCTGCGACTTGACCACACTCAACACACTCATTGACACACACTTTACACACACTTCATACGCAACATCTATGCTACAGACTTGATCCAGTTCAACCATTGTGGCTTCTCTCATTGAATCTGGGGAGGCGTGAACAGGAGGAGAGAAGGAGATGGTTTTCACGTCTAAACACACACACTTCATACGCAACATCTGTGCTACAGATCCAGTTCACCCATTGTGGCTTCTCTCATTGAATCTGGGGAGGCGTGAACAGGAGGAGAGAAGGAGATGGTTTTCACGTCTAAACACACTCTGACAAAACTACGGTCCCCAGATTCTTGAGGGGGAAAGCCATTCCAGTGTCTGCAGTCGAGTTGCCAATTACTATAGAAGAATCACAGCTCATAAGAGCATCGATCACGATAGAAAAAAAGCTGTAGATAGTGCGCCTGAAATAACCTCATATTTTGTTATCGATATAATAACATCAATATGACAAAAATAATACAAATAGTGTAGAGGTAAAGGTTCCCTTGCTCGAAAGCCAGTCGAATCCGACTCTAGGGTTGCGGTGCTCATCTCCGTTTCAAAGCCGAAGAGCCAGCGCTGTCCGAAGACATTTCCGTGGTCATGTGGCCAGCATGAGTAAACACCAAGGCGCACGGAACGCTGTTACCTTCCCACCGAAGTGGTACCTATTTATCTACTTGCAATTTCTTGCTTTCGAACTGCTAGGTTGGCAGGAGCTGGAACTAGAGACGGGAGCTCACTCCGTCATGCGGCACTCAGGTCTCGAACTGCTGAACTACTGACCTTCCACAGCCTGCAGTTCAGCGTCTTAACCACTTGAGCCACCGCAGCTCCTACAAATAGTGTAAAGAGGTCCAAAGGTTGTTGCTGTTGACGAAGTTCTCCGGATTGCTAAGTCGTTTCAACAGACCTTCATCCGAACGGGACCATGTACAGCCTTATAAACATCACAACAAATAATCATAATCTTAAAATGGACCAATGCAATGTACCAAGAAATTGGAACAGAATAGATATTGATACTAATTACATACTGTGTCTTCATGTTTATAAGGCTGTACACGGTCCTGTTCGGATGAAGCTTTCTCGAAACAGTTTAGCAATCCAGAGAACTTCGTCAACAGCAACAACCTTTGGACCTATTCAGAGGGCTGCGGTGCCTCAGGTTGATATGCTGAGCTGCAGACCGGAAGGTCTGTAGTTCTGCAGTTCGAGACCCGAGTGCCGCGTGACGGAGTGAGCTCCCGTCTCTGGCCCCGGCTCCTGCCAACCTAGCGGTTCGAAAGCAAGAAATTGCAAGTAGATAAAGAGGTACCGCTTCGGTGGGAAGGTAACAGCGCTCCGTGTGCCTTGGCGACGAGTCATGCCGGCCACACGGCCACGGAGAAGTCTTCGGACAGCGCTGGCTCTTCGGCTTGGAAATGGAGACGAGCACTGCCCCCTAGAGTCGGATCCGACTGGCTTTAAAGCAAAGGGAAACCTTTACCTTTTATCCCGTTCAAACTAGGCATTCAAAGCGGCTTGCAACACAACTCTCCCTTCTTCCATATCATCCTCACAGCAACAACCCAGGTGAGGCAGGCTGGGAGCGCCGGTTTCCGTGGCAAAGCGGGGATTCGAACGTGGGTCTCCCAAATCCTCACCCGCGACACTCTAACCCCACAGCACACAGAATAGAATACAAACGACGGGAATAGACACGTCCAGAATCAACCCCAACTAAAGACAGGAGGCACCATAGGTGCGGGGGGGAGGTTTGGGGGGGGCGATCCTGGGAATTTACCTTTGTTCTGATTATTCTCCACCGCCCCATCTTGCTGCTTCCCTACAACAGAAGAAGGGGACGACAAACACAGGACGCTTGAGAACAGACAACACGGCACCAGCACGGCACACACACTATGGAAAGCGTGACTCTCAAGGAGAATTCCACCCTGCCCCACCCTGCACTGGGCCAGGGAGCTTCAGACGGGCACAGCTGTGGCCAGAGACTCTCCGGGGCTGAGAAAGGACACTGCCAAGGGCTTTCCCCGTCCACACTTGACCAAAGGTCTCGAGTTCCGGTCTACACCCACGCCCTGGAGGTAGCCAGCTGAGACTGATCAGGGAAGGGCGTCTCGTCCGTCTTGGGCTACAAAGGCCAGGTGAGAGGCGGGGGCTGAGGGGGGGGAATTCTGTATGCCTTTCAGAGAGAACAGCCAAGGCAGGGTGCAGATGTGCACAGCTGGGTGAAATGAAGCATGCACAGAGGAATGAAGGCTGTTGACGGGACGGAGGCATGCATCGAAAAGCAGACCCTCTCCTACAGAAGGGCGGTCTTCCGTCCATGGGTTAGCACCTCTCAGCGCTCACCTTGGGTTCTCTTCTCCCTTATTTTCTTATGGTTGCCAGCTGCAGTTTGGGAAATCCCAGGAGGTGTGGGCGGCAGTGCTTAGGGAGAAAAGCAGGCTCATAGACAGGATTTTTAAATTTGGGGGGCTTTTGAATGAGTCGGGGGAAGTGTTCCCTTTAAGCTGAGTTAGCGTGAGCTGGTTCACAGTTTTTTAGCCTCCGGCTCACACATTTTTTTCTTAGCTCTTAGCTCAGGAAGGAGGGCTCCAGAGCAAACTGATTTACGCAGTAGCCAAATCGCTCGCTCACAACTTGAATGCCAGTAGCTCACAAAGTAGAATGTTTGCCCACAAGACTCCACAGCTTAGAGGGAGCATGGTTCTACCCACCACTTTGTTTCAGGATTCACAAGTTGCCCACAGACTTTAAAAGGTTCAGTGATGTAGGGACTGGAGTTCATATTCTGGGCACCCTGGCATGACGCACTGCAGATCTAGTGTTAGTTGAAGAGGAAATTGGATTTATACCCCGCCCTTCACTACCCAAAGGAGTCTCAGAGCGGCTCACAAACTCCTTTCCCTTCCCCTCCCCACAGCAGGCGCCCTGTGAGGTAAAAGACCCACCACTGTGTTTCAGGATTCCCAAGGTTCAGTGATGTAGGGAGTTCATATTCTGGGCACCCTGGCATGATGCACTGCAGATCTAGTGTTAGTTGAAGAAGAGATTGGATTTATACCCCGCCCTTCACTACCGAAAGGAGTCTCAGAGCGCCTTACAATCTCCTTTCCCTTCCCCTCCCCACAACAGACACCCTGTGAGGCAGGTGGGGCTGAGAGAGCTCTTTTGAAAACT